AAGGTTCCGATCACGAAGCTACGCCGATTGCCGGCTTATCTCTACGCATGATCCCTACCGATTGGCACACCGCGGGCACGTCAGGAAGAGATCGTTCAACGGCTGTTCTATAGCGGTGAGCAGTACGTCTTCTACCGGGTCGTGATGGCACACCACCCTAGTGGGGCACCTTATCCCTATGGCAGTCAGCGCTCCCAAGACGTCCGACTCTGGAATCCCGCGAACGTGCGCCGTCACGTGCTCGAAGCAAAAGCCCTCGTCCCGTATCACCCTGCTAGAGTCGAAGAAGCACTTCTTGCTCGTGAAGAATATGTGGGAGAGGTTCAACCGCGTCTCCGGCCCTGCCAGCTGGAACAAGATCGAGTCCCACTCGGGGACCGCCGCGGCTGCCATGATGGTGGCGTCTCTGATGTGCATACGTTTCAGATCCATGCCGTCGAGGCACGTGCCTTCCTCGATCGTCAGCGTCTTCACCGTCGTCTGCTTTCCGCACACCTTGACGCCGGACCAGAGCCGCATGTGCTCGATGGAGGATTCCCTCTCGAAGTAGACGAGGCCACCTCCGACCATGACGTTGAGGCTCTCGATCTGGGGCGCGTTCACGAAAGTGATGCTCTCGGGAGGGGGCCCTTTCACCGGGTAGTTGCTGACGACGCACAGACGCTTGAGCCGAGTCGAACGGATCCTTGCGTGGGCGACGCTGGACACGTAGACCGTGCAGCGCTCCACTGCGGGGAATGCCTCCAGGCAGTCGATGACGCAGACGGGCCCTTCCAGAGGCAGCTCGAGGACCAGCCTCTTGGTCTCGGCGAGCTCCTCCGCAGGAATGGGATTTCGTTTCGGCGACTCGCTCCGAAACGACGTGCAGTTTATGACGAGCGCCTCCAGCCTCCCCGACCGGGCGAGGATGCGGGAGACGTCGAGGAGGGCGGATTGGGAGCAGATTCCGAGATGCAGCCTCATGCGCCTGAGTCCGTGCAAGCTGGGCGCCATCGTCCGGAGCACGTCGATCACGCCGGGAGTCTCCAGCTTGTTGGCGTCTATCTTGAGCTGCGTCACGCCTTCCCGTGAATCGGTGACGAAGCGGGCGAGCGACCGAAGGGACTCTATCGATTCGAGGGCATGATCCGGGGCGACTTGCCGGATGCTGCGCCCGACCACCTCGCTCCAACCCTTGGACAGGACCAGCGTCTTCACCGCGTCTTCGTTCGCGAGTCGATCGACGATCGACCTGCACAGGTCTGCGCCCAGGACGTCGAGGGGGTCCGAAGGGGCCATGGTTTCGAAATGAGATCCACCCGCGTGACGAATGCTTTAAGTAGTAGAGTCTTCTGCAAAGAGTCAGTTCGAACGGATGACGAGTCTTTCCGCCACCCACGTAGGCAACACCACGTCGGCGTCGAGCCACACGTCATTCAGCGTCATCTCGACGGCCGCGCATCGACCGACGGCCAAGGCGGATGCGGGTATCTCGTCCAACGACGATGCGTCGTACGCTCGCACCGCCAATCGGCTTCCGCGCACGGGCATCTTCACTCTCAGGAGTCGGAGATTCGCGTTGTACGGCATGCGTAGATTCTCGATGGGACACAAGAAGGCCATGAGCTGGTCGTTGATGGACGCGAGATATTCGTGAAACGGGGAGTCAGCACCGATCCTGAATGTCGCGTAGCATCGTGAGTCTGTCCGGTGGACGTCCGTCACCTCGAGGAACGGGGTGCACGCCGTCTCCCTCTGGTTGACGTCTGCGGAGCTCCTCACCACGGCCTTCCTACCGAACTCGCTCGTCTTTATGCTCAGCCTAGGCCTATTCGTAGTCATCGTCTATGTCTACGGGCCACAGATAGTGCCGCCTCCTCGCGGCGAACGCGGCCCCCTCCTTTTCCCTGCAGCGACGTATGGTGGCGGCGTAGCTCTCCGGATCGGCACCCATCCCGAGCCCCTCTCCGGCTAGGAAGAGCTCCGGATAGGAGCGCCCCTTGCAGTGCAGCATGTGCACTCGCAGGGAGCCGCATCTCCGCTGGATGCTAGGTTTGGAGACGTTCAGCACCCGAGCCAGG